GCACTCTTGTCTCTATTTTTTTTTTTCCTTTTTCCGATTTAATAGTTTGATAATAATAATAACAATTGTATTTTCAATAACTGATCTAACATAGATATTGGTACTCAAATAGGATGTGATCCAAATTTATAAAGAACTACTAGTACAGAACTGAAACCCGGAATCTCTTTATGGTGATTCCAATTCAGTCAAACCTTAAAACAACCATTAAACCAACAAAAATTAAGGTGTCTTTGCCATCTTTGCCACCCTGACCACTACCAAAACCACCTTTTCCACCAGCTCCACCTCCCTTAATAGAGACTTGATAGCACAAATGTTTTAAGACTTTCTTAAAGAAAATCCTAATATTGTAATATTTCTTCCGACTTAAACAATTTTTTATTTTTTTCTACTCCCTAATGTAGCGCAACTTATCAATTGAAACCGACTCGTTACTATCAGTATAAGAGATTTATGAGAGATGTAAGAAGAAAAATATTATTGACACAAATAATTATTTTCAATCTAAGTTAATTACTGTATGAGAGATTTATGCTTGGAACTATTATAGTATCAGAAAACTGTTGCTTGGAACTGTTACAATAAGAGATTATTAGGTTTTAAGACGTGTTCCTTCGGGATAGAGAAAAAAAAAGAAGATATGTTTCCTTCAAAAAATTTGCATATTAAATTTTTGTGACTACTGCAGCTAAAAAAAGAAACGAAAAGAAAAGCAAGGAGGGAGATAGAAAAGAAATGGAAATTTTTATTTGCGAATAGAAAAAAAGAGCTTTAATTTAAAATTAAGTTGAACTCCCATATTTAGACTTTGTGTGATCAAAAGTAATGGAACTACATAAAAGCTTACTGAACACAATGATTTATTTTTTCTTTTAAATAAGTTGTGCTATACAAAACTTATTAATTTTTGTGAACTAAATCAAACTATACAGATTAGTAGAAAGATAATGATCTGCGAAGGAAAATTTTAAAGGGAAATTTAACTGGAATGAATCATAACAATTTCTTTTTAATACTATCTATATCTAGTTTGAACATTTAAGATGAGAGTATATTTTTGATTATTGACACATCATCTCCGGTAAATTTTCCCTGCATGTGTCACTACAAAAGTTTCGATAATAACTAAAAACCCACAATTGAAATCTTTCCAAATATATTAATTTTAAGATCAACAAAATATATACGATTTAGTTCCAAGATGCCAACTACTCCACCGTTTCTTAAGATAAGGCATTTTGATTTGTCCTATGCTTCATATAGTATGCATTTCGTATTGAAAAAAAAAACTTTAAAAATACATTCTCATCTTCGTTGTGTTCTCTTAATTATTATGAAATATTTTTAATTTTTTTTTGTCAAATGGTACACTCTAGGATATAGGACAAATTAAAAATACCTTATATTAAGGACCAGAAGGAGTATGAAAAAACCAAAAGAAGATCTTGTTTGGTGGTTCTTTTTATCACAGTTGCCATCGATGCATTGCGTATTTGGAAAAGTCCTAACGAACACTTCTTTAAGGTGGCAAAATGACTAGTTGTTGAAGGCAAAATTAAATTGAATTCCAGGCGTCGACTTTGTGCTCAACCTTTATAAGCCGTCGTAAGAGTCGACATATGCTTTTTGGTTTGATTTCGCATTTGGCAAACACAAAGTCTTCACTGTTTATCCAAAATATGATTTTGACAACTATTTTGTTGATGTTTAAAAACTGACTATAAAATTGATACAATCAGTTTTGTTTCTTAGTTATCATTTTTGGGGCAACAATTATGTAATACTACATATTTTGCGCCAAATTTTTAGAAAGTACACCACACCTTAGAGAACATTTTGAAATATAATCACTGTTCTATCAAAATTCAGAAAGAAAAATGAGCTTAAAAAATGTGGCATTTCTAAATTCATCAATTGTGTGGAAACCACAACACACACACACACACACACACACACACACACACACATACGTATATAAGCGAAATTCCAGATTGACAAAGAAATTAAATGATCCCAAACATATTTTCAAGTTTGAGTTAATCCAGGTCTTCAACGGCTGTGGGAAGAGCTTTAAATGTTGATCTTTCTCAAATTCTTCAATCCAAGCAGGCAAATAAATTGTCTGGGGCCATTGTAAAATCTTAAAATTGTGAGTATAATTAAATTTTCAATATGGACTATTTTTCTGAAATAGAGAGAGTATATATAATTTCTCTTTATTATATTGTGAAAGAGACATTTTGAGATGAACATAGCATTATTTTATTGGAATTAAATCGTTTCAAAACCACATTAACTAACTAGAAGGAAAGAAAGTGGTGAAGATCAACAAGGTAAGAAAACTCATCAGTTGAGAGGAACAATATTCATGACCGATCGTTACTTTTCTTACTTCAGTACTCTCTGTGAAGATCTTGAATTAACCATGAAACAACTGCATCCAATCTTTTTTCTAAAAACATTTTCGTATTCCTATGATGAACACTCTCTACATCTCAATGTTAGTTGTGAAAAGTGCATGTGTGTATTCTACTGTTCCACGCGAACAGAATTTCCTAAACTAAGTAGACTTGAATTTAGTTATTACCAATTAAAATTAGTAACTTGATATTTACCAAAAAAAAATAAAATTAGTAACTTGATACTTTTAGGTAACAAAAATTGGCATTCAATTTTAAATTTTTGATTAAACCTACAATGATTAGTAGCTGGAATGGCTCAATTGGTAGAGCATGTGACTAGTAATCACAAGGTCGGAGGTTCAAGTCCTCCTTTCAGCACTCTCTGTCTCTACGTTTTTTCCAATAAAATTTAGTTTCATAATAACAACAACAACAACAACAACAACAATAATAATAATAATAATAATAATAATAATAATTAACCAACGGATCGCTTGTTGGTGGTTTAGACTAAAGTGTCACAATAATTTGAGGATATTTCTACTTGTATGGATATATCCGAGCTATTCACGCATACACTGTTGAAATGTGAAGAGCTTGAGGATGTTCATTCAAATACTGTTCTGTCTTAGCAGTCAAGAAAGAAAATATTTACTTACTATTATTAGCTTACAAGTGAACTTCGCTTTTCCCACCTCCGCCTTTTGGAGGATGCAAGAAAACACACAAAACTACGGATGGAAAAAGTTGCAACATTCTGCTAACCAAATTAATTTAGAGAAGCCTTTGGGAAAGTTGAGGTTACTAAATCAGTCTATGAAGAGAACTAACTAATGAGTGAATATTAATCATCAGAGATAATAATGATGTAAATATCTGTAGGGAGAAACCGTAGTAAAGAACTCCTAAATCTACATTGCAAATACAGTAGTAAGTTAATGGCTTTCAGAGGTTGACTTATTTGTGCTGAGTTTCTGCTCTATTCTAGGCAGTTCTGATGTGGCAACTTCAACTCTGTTTTTTTTTTTTCCCTTCCTTTCAAAGCGATCAAATTTGAGTCTAATTTCTGAGCAAATCTTCTACCTTGTTCTTTTAGCTTCAAAATGATTTCAAGAAGCCTTAGACCCAAAGTACGAATGATCTGAAAAGCGTCTGATTACGGCTAAAGTTCAGTAGTCTAGCTTGCAACTTTGAAATCTAATGACTACGGATGAATTTCAGCAGTTTAGGACCGTGCAGTTTGAAAGGACTTTAAATAGAAAAGATAGCAGAATTATGCAGTACTAGTGAACAAAGCCTCCTCTACTAAAATACTCTATCTGTCCCAAAATGATAGTCCAGTTTGGAACTTCAAATGTAATTAGCTAAATATGAAAATCCGTCATATATATACCAAGTGCATTTTCCCTTAAACCCACTCTTTTGAGCTATACTTATTCTTTGTATACAACCTAAAAACCATAGTTCAAGCGCACCGACCACCTGCTATTTCCTGTTGTTTATGCATTGGTGAAACTATCTCAAATAAATGACAGAATATATATATCTTGGTAGTCAACAATTTCAAACTTCAATTTTGACCTCTATCCAGTCAGAATTTGATATCTCCATGATACGCAATCAAATAATGATGGGAGTCGTACTATTGTCTACAATCTACATTATCCTCTAGAACCGAAAAGAGAAACACCACTCATGTCATTTCAATTATATAGTCAAGTTGTAATATTTCCAAGTCAAACCCACCTTCATGAGAAGAGTACAAACAGTATTATTAAAAAAAATAGTAGATAGATTCTGCAACCCACAATTTTGAGTTAATAAATTACAATCCGGCATCATAAGCATTGACCATCAACAAAGATAGAAGTCCATACTCCTATCACTTGGCATATGAGATCAACTAAATAGATGAGGAGTCCAATATTAATATAATCTCCAACCTTCCTTTTTTTGGTGGCTCTGTGATGCATAAAAGTAATAGTGTACGTGCAACTACAGAGATGTAGAATCAACGAACTTTTCTCTATACAAATCTGACACCCAGGACCCATATTTTCATAAATTCTAAGTTGTAAAAAATAAGACAAACAATTTTTTTTAAAAACAGGCAACTGTTCCGTTTTCCTTCTCCTTTTTTTCATCACTTTCCTCCATGGATTTAGTTCTAACAACCCTTGTCAATGACGGCAAACATCGTATTTATGGGAAAAAAGTGACAAATTCACCTGCATTGTCGTATTATGTTAGGCAAATCTTCAAACAACAATGTTGTAATATGAACTTCATGAAAATTTGGAATGGTCGAGCAAGCATGGTTAATGCACAAAAGTATGGCATTTCCTCTAGTAATTAAAAACGTTGACCGACCATATTGACCTAAAGCAAGTCAAATGGACGTTAACATCTTGCCTGAGATATCAACCGCAGTACATGTGCAATGAGTAATTTGGTATACTTTCAAGAACAAATAAAATCACATCAGCTCAAATCAGTCATAACTTAAAGAACTTCAAAATTATGAAGCGCTACTATAACAGCTGAAAAAGAAGTGATAGCATCTAGGCTCCAAACGACGCTTACTAGTTTTCGAATTCAAATATACCTTAGCGACATGATGTTCTCTACATAATAAGATGCAGAGTCACCTGAATTTAGGAAATGGTTGCTTGATCCCCTTGAGGAACAATTGAGATTAACCTCGATCTTATGTGTTTCCTTCTTGGATGGATCATATAGGTATAAATGAAGTGATATCTCAGAAGGAAAGGATTCAACGTAATCCATCAACACTTTGCCATCAGGGAGTATACACGTGACACCAATTCCTGGATAAATTGCAATCGGAAACTCAAACTTCATCTCGTCTATCGCCTCCGCCGCCACATAGTCTCTGATATCATTGCCGTGATAAGAGATGATTCCGAATTCAATACTCATTAGTTTCAGATATAAAGACAGATATAGAGACAGAGGAGTAGGGACAAGGAAAAACGCCTTATCAGAAAGATCTAAAATAAGAATCTTCCCAGTCAGGGCTCCATCTGTAAAGTCCGAAGCGTCAAAATAAATAACACCATTAGAAAACACACCCCATCTGGATACAAAAAACAATGATGAGAATAGAGGTGAATCGATGATTTTCCAGGAGAAAGGAGCTTGCAAACAACCTTCTCCTCCTCCTCCTCCTCCGAAGGTGAGAATTTGACAATGTGAAAACCTGCCGAAGACTCCCGATATCTTCACTAACTTGTAAACCTTTCCAACAGAATCGAAACTGAGATAGTAATTAGATAGCACACCTACTTTGTTACAGCAAAATTGAGGTGGATTAATCAAATCCGGAAGTGGTAAAGTTTTGCGGGTGGCTACATTTTGAAGGTAGCAACAGTTGGTGTCGTCGTTGTATAAACAGACCAATCCGTTCACTAGATTGGTGCATCCCTATTTTGTGTTTGACCATGGAGGAAATCCCCAAAACTTTGTTTCTACAAAGAAGAACGGAGGCTGCAAAAGGCCATCAACGACATTTTGGCTTTGGGAGGCAGCATTTTATCTTGGAGGGGGGAAAAAGGGTCAAAACACTCTTTTAGTCCTCACAGTTTTAATCCCCAATAACTTTCGGTCATCAAAGTATTTTTTGTTTGGAATTCAGTCATTAATCATTCTAACTTTGGGACAAATGTTTTTAAAACCAACTATAAGAAAACGTCCACCTTCTAATGATGAAGATAACACCTTTTCCCTGGAGGGTGTTGGTCCTTAACAAAGATAATGGCAACAATGCTTATTATCATTAGAGCCAAACACATTAGAATGAATGAACTCTCAAAGGTCCCTCTGCCATTCCACAAGATGGTTATTTTACATTTTGCACTAGCATAGAGTCGCTCCAATCAACTAAATGAAAAAGCATGCACAGACAGACCCGGTGACCTCTTATAAATCAAACTCACTGAAAAAAAAAACCTGAGAGGACAACAAAGATATAATATACTCCTTCTGTCCTAAAATTATTGTCCAATTTAGATTTCGATTATTAGTTCAATTTGTATCAAATATGAAAGGGATAGAGGAAGGAAATCGAAGTCAGTGGGAAAGATATTTGGAGAGAAAAAAGAAGAATTACTATGGAGTGCAGAATGCTATGGAGAAGCCATGGAAGTCAAGGGGGTTAGAACAGGTGGATAAGGTCCAAGACAACGCCTTTCAATTCATCTTCTCCATATTTGAGGAGAGGAATGCCATTTTGAGGCAAAAACCGTGGTCTTTTGACAACCATTTTATGGTACTGTATAAATGGGAAGAGAACATGGATTTTGAAGCGTAGAAATTCAACTTTACTCCGATTTGGGCTTAGATCTGGAATGTGCCGCGAGACTAGATCTCAAGGGAGACAGAAATGGATCTGGGGGAAGTAATGGGGGAGGTTAAGGATGCGATCGTACCATAGGTTAGTGGAATTGGCTACAAGCATATTAAGGTGTTGGTTGAGCTAGATATGAGGAAACCGCTGGAATGGGGAACTCTTGTGAGACACAAAGAAAAAGAAGTTTAGGTTGAATTCAGTTATGAACAATTGCCATGGTTCCATTTTTATTGTGGATGTATTGGGCATTTGGAAAAGGGATTTGGGAAGAGGGCAGACTCAGAGGCAAAATACAATTACAAAGAAATTTTAAACATGTAATTAAAAATACAATCACATGACCGGGTTCGAACCCTTAATTTTCTTTTTTTTTTTTTAATTTATTTGATCGAAAGCAGGGGCGAAGGCACGTACAAGAGAAGTGGCACAATTTCCCATCTGGATTTTTTTTTTTTTTTTTGCTATTAACCCCTTGAAAATTTAGAATAAAAAACAATTTATGCCCCACCTGAATTGAAAATATTGGGGGCAAGTATATTAAGTTAGAATTTTGAAAAATTTTGCCCCATCACATATAGGAGGCTTGGCTCCGCCCCTGATCGAAAGACATGGTTTACATAGTAGGAAGAAATTGCTTAAATTTTTGAGGTTCATACCATCTTTCACATTTATTTATCTCAAACATTCTAAGAAACAACATCAAATAATGCAGTTGTAAAATTTACGCATAATTTGCTCACATCATTATTATAAAATTAACTTAAAGCTTGGTGTTTCCATCATCATTGACTATGTATTTTAATGTTTATATGTATAAGAACTCTTTAGTGTTATAAATGTTAAGTGAGTAGATTGTAGATTAAGTACTTCCAACTTATTCCCTCTCAACCTTGATACCATAGTTGTAAGAAAAATTATCTTCCGAATATGTCAACTTTGGAGGTAATGATTTGAATGACATGCAAAAATTTGTTGGTAATTATGATAATACTTTTTTCAATAAGTTTAATCAACGCATTTAATTAGCTGCAAAGATCGATATGTAATACTAGGTGTCATCGATCGTTTCTATTATTCCAGATTTGTCACATGTCTTCATTCCGAATTGCCTTGTTTATCCGCGACAGAAACCACACATTTAGGACTTGTCAATTAATGTCCTTGAGGAAGCCCGCCACCATCATCAGCGGCGGCGCCACCCACGCCATCACCATCCTGGTTCTTGAGAAGTGCCAGCCTCCGAGTAATCTCCATCACGTTTCGCTTAATGGCAAAACTCACATCATTGGCATCCTGAGATTGGAGGCTCTCCGGGTTGTTTTCGCCACTCAAACACTGGTCAATAAACAAATGGATCTCCTTTTCTCGACTGTCTCTCAAGATTTTCTTAACCTGTTCTTTGGTCTTTTCAATCCTTTGTCGAGTGAAAGTTTCTTGGTCAACCATCCATTTCCCTTTCTCTGAAGCGGGTACTGCTTTAAACCTCGCCAGGACTTGATTCAAGGCGGTGGGATCCTCCGGCCAAACCTCCGGCCTCTCATCGTACGGCCCATAAAGCACCGCGGCAGCATCTATCCCACAAAGGGTACTTAATTCTTGGACTTTCTTCATCAACCCTCTTTTCCTTTTCTTGTAAGAAGCTTTTCGCTCTGAATGGTTAACAATGTAAGCAAGCCTCACTTTTCTCCTAGTCATGGCTGTTTTTTGAAAGCAGAGGATTTTTTTTTCGTAGAAATGGAGATATGTTTGAGAATTTGTTGTGGTCTGATGATGTTTATTTATACTGGAAAATCATGAATAGAAGACAATGAGAAAAGGGTGAGGACAGAGGTGGTCAAAATATTTCCATGTCAAAGGAATTAATTGCAATGGATTCTTAGTTTGAATGATTTGTCGTTTATTTGGACATAGTAAATTTTCTGTTGAAACACAGTCAAAGGTTTTATGCGTTACAATGGTGAGATTTATCTCATCCAATTTCTTTGTATTGGAATTTTTTTCAATATATGAGATAAAGGTTGATTTAGTTCATGGAATCAAAAAAGATATTTATACAAAAAATCATAGTTATCATACTATTTAGATTAATAAATACTCCCTTCATTTTCAAGTAAATATCCTTCAAGAAATTTCATTAACACCAAGGAAAAATATTAAATAAGGTGGTTAAATACAAATTCAACCTTATTGAATATCAATGCAACTCATTGTAATACCAATAATCGGTGAAGTGGAATTCCAATGGCAGCTTTAATCAATCGGTGGGGGTTGGTTGTGCGGGAGGAGTTGTACGGACTGCCATGATAGATGGTTTGGGGGTTTTATGATGAAGGTAGGGTTTTGTACCATCACTGGTGTGGCTTTTGGGTTTATTTAAAACCCTAGTACTAGCATGGGATCTTGGTTATAGGAAGGTGAAGTCGGAAGTGGATAGCTCAAGCGTTCTGCTGATGGCAAAAGGCGACGAGGAAGTCTTAGGGATTCATTCGAGGATTATAAGCGGGATTCGGAAATTACTACACCGGGATTGAATCGTAGAACTTGATCATGTTTATCGGGAGGCAAATTTCTTGGCTGACTACTTAGGTTCTTTAGCAGTTTCTGTCCCGGTATGTTTGTAAAGATTTGACGCACCACCGTCGGGTGCCCGGTCATGGTTGCAACATGATGTACTAGGGGTGGCATATCCCCGGAATTTAAGAATCTAAGCTTTACCTCCTGTTTCGTACCAAAAAAAAAAGTTTCAATTAAACAAAATCTTGATGTCTAATGCTAGGGTAATGCTAGAAACAATGGATAAACGTTGTATCAAATTCGTTAAACGACATATATCTTGAAATTTTTATGCTAACTTAAAAAAGACATATATATTTCAAAATGGATAGAGTTATAATCTTGACTAAGATTGCATTTTTTTGAGTAAATGTTTAGTAATAATAATTATAAATATTTACTAAAATATAAACTATTGACGAATGAGGAGTTGGTTCAGTGGTAAAACCACCCTTGCTCCAAAAGGAGGTCCTGAGTTCAATTCCCACTTCAACAAAAGTGAGCGATTGGCTCTCACATTTCATATTGGCGCCTCTCGGGGCTTGTTATGGTAATGAACCCCCAATTTCGCACCAGAACTTGTCACCCCGGGCTTTCCTAAGGTGGCTTACCTTCCATTGTAGTTTGCAGGCTACGATATAAAATATTTATGTATTTCTAGTATTCAGAAAAATTTTAATACGTGATTGATTGGGATTTAGAGATAATTTTTTAAATTAATTAATTTAGTTAGGGTTTTTTTCATAGAAATGCTTTAAATTTAATAATTTTTTAATTCATTAATTATCTAATAATTCTCTGAATTATTAAATTTTGGTGGTCGGAATAATATTAATTTATAGAAGTTCTACTGCAGTCTATATTGAGTTTTCATATTTGTACAATTAAGAACCTGTTTATGGATTTAAAATGTAAAAGTACAAATGTTCTGTATAATACAAGAAATATATATATATGTATATGTATATAATTTGTTTTTCAAAAAAATAAGATTATCACCTTGGAGTTCTTCTGTTTTTTTATGGTTGTTTTGTGTAATCAACAACTTATTTTGTTTTGTTTTCAACGTTGTTACCTTCACTAGCATTATTTCTTGAACACCAGTATACAATTATGGTTATGATCTTCTGTCCTAACGTGAAATTCAAAACATATATTAAAAAGCCAAATTCTACAATTTCGCCTTCAATATATTATATTTTTCAAACCTTCAATATATGTATAGGTAAATAAAAGAGGTAATGGAACATCTGGCGAGTTAGTTAAAGTACTTAAATGGCTGCAAATTTTACCACTTAATTGGAAATTTACAATCTAGAGAACATGGAATTGCTTGACCATAGAATTGACGAGGTGATGATGACAGTAAATTCGACTTCTCGTAGGTTCGTGCTTGTTCTTCATAACAATATGTAATTTTTTGTCCAGTTGTTAAATCTTGACCTTCTGTGGTTGGGTAAAAGGAGAATAATGATCCGAGATTTACTTCCTACTTAAATTTTTCCATACTTCAAATGTAATGAAAATTTTCCCAATCAACAGTAATGAACTTTTTTTTTTCCCCAATCAGAGTTGATATTAAATTTGCGGGGAGAGCTTTATGCATTGGGACCGAGGTTTGTGCATCTTGGAAAACGTCTTACTTCAATACAGTCTAACTTAGTTGAAAGGATACCATCAATTGCATAACATCTAAAAAGATATCAAAGAAGTCCAACCACATTATTTCTTTGTCAAGCCCCTTCACCATCTTCTCGCCACCATTTTCATTTGCTCAAAATTAACTGTCAAGATTTACGAATCTCCTTTGAATATATAATATCAATTTCCCAGAAAACTGATACTATACACAATATTTTTTATTATTATTTTTTGTTTCTAATTATCAAGCCTTGGATCTCAAATTTTAGATTGAATGAATTTTCAATTAAAAAGAATACAAACCCAAGCAAGCATATAAATTGTCCCGGTACATTGGTTGGAAAGCTCATACTTGGTCAAAATTCCGAATGACATATTGCACTATCCCACTAATTAAAATAGCATAAATTGTAGTTTGTGAATTGTACTTTAAACATTAATTCTTCTATCTATCTCATAAAATTTGTTTACATAGTAAATTATATTACTTTTAGTAAAATTTAATTTTCAATGTGAATTATTTTTCCAAGAGATAAGATATATAATATAATTTATTGTTTACAAAGATTAATAATATTCTGAGACGGAGAAATTATTATTTTAAAAGTGTTAGATCGTTTTAAAACCACACATTAACTAAATAGAAGGAAAGAAAGCGGTGGAGATTAAGATGGCTAGTAAACTAATTAGTCGATCCGAACAATACCTAAAGGACAGATGATTATTTGGATTCATGAAAGACCCTTTCTATCTTCCTTTAGCACTCCCTAAAGATCTTGAACCAACCATGAAACAACATAGATTAATTGAACCCACTCGAACTGAATTTCCTATACTAACTAGGAGTTGAATTTAGTATAACAGAAATTAAAATAAGTAACTTGATACTTTTAGGTTAAAAGAAGTAAATTGAAATTATGTAATTACGATTAGGGTTAGGATTTCCTATTCCCTATTATTTCCTGTTTATGTTCCTGCTATGTACTATATATATGTGGCATGATTATATTAATATACACAAGTTTTACGTGATTATTTATGGTATCAGAGCAAGGTTTATTAAACCCTAAAGCTCTCCAAACCTTGCTGCCGATCATCGTTTTTTTTTCTCTTCTTCTTCGCGGCTTTCTGGTTTTCATCAACCATGGGTGACAAAGTTCCTCAATCCAACTCAACTTAGTTGATACTCGATTCCCTTACTATGTCCACCCATCGGATCACCCCGGTTTGATCTTCGTTACTCAGCCCTTGGCTGAAAACGGTGATAATTTTTTTCACTTGGAGAAGCAGCTTCCTTAATGCACTTCAATCCAAGAATAAAGCTGGTTTTGTCGATGGAACGATCAAGCAACTAGCTGCTACATCTGCCGAGTTCCAGCAATGGATTCTGTGCAATGCTCTCATCAAATCTTGGTTGCTTAATTCGGTTTGTAAAGAGGTTCAAACTGGAGCAACACATACTCCAACTGCCCGTGAAATTTGGGCTGATTTCAATGAACGTTTCACTCAGGGATTGGCGCCTCGTGTGTATGAGTTGAAACGTTCGATTGCCCTTTTACAGCAAGAGAAGGCTCTCACCTCCACATACTATGGAAAGCTGAAAGGAATCTGGAGTGAGTTGCAGAATCTTCGCTCTTTTCCAGCCTGCTCCTGCGGCAGCTGCAAGTGCGACATCAATCATCAACTTCAACTTGATGCACGAGGAAAAAGTTTTTGATTTTCTTCTGGGACGCGACGACGCTTATCAGACGGTGAGGTCTACGATTTTAAACATTGATCCACTTCCTTATGAGAACCAGCGCCGAATTCAGATTCGCAGTTGCCGGTTATTGAAGCTGCAACGCTGGCTGTAAAATCATCTCCTTTGCGGACTAACAAGGATCAGCGTGAAGGCAGCCGTTCCAAGCTTCATAGCAGCCATTGTGGACGCGACAATCCTAACAAAGAGACTTGTGATTGTTAAGAGATAAAGCACAAAGGAATTAGAAGTCTTAGATTAGTTTCATCTAGTTGGTTATTTCAAGTGAATTACTTACCTTTATTACTTAAATAAAATTAGTTAATTTACATAGTTATCATATTTGTAAACTAAGCCTATAAAAAGATATTTGATGTATTCAGTTTAGAAAGGAAATCAAAAAATGTAGTCCTTCACTCCATTAGTTTATTCTCTGCTTTTATTTTTCTAAATAAAATACCAATTTTCTTCTTGGTATCAGAGCAAGTTCTATCCTGCGTCTGAAGGTTTTTATAGCTTCCGCATATATGTCTAATCATGACTTCTGCATTTCTGTTCATCGATACTCAAAATTTTATCATTCTAAAATTCTCTTGACTTCTTCATTTCTGTTCATCGATACTCAAAATTTTATCATTCTAAAATTCTCTCTAGTCAATTATTTATTGCGGAGAGATTCCCGCACAGAGCCAAGGACCTATCGATTACCTCACAACTCAACCATTGTTTCATCCTCCACTTTCATTCATCACCACCAAAAAAA